TTAGGTTTATTGAGTTTATTAGGTTTATTGGGTTTATTAGGCTGATTTTACTATCTAATGATTTGCTATTATGAAACTGTATGAAAAAGTAAAAAGGTTTTTTTGCTAGCATCAACCAGAAATGAAGGTCAAAACGATCAGCATTTCTGGTCGATGAAAGCTGATGCTTTTTTTGAACAAATTTAGAGAAATATTACCGATAACTCGCAAAATTTGAGTACTTTTATGCAAATTGAGTAGTTTTTTGCAAATTGAATCTATATGTTTCAAATTTTCGTTAATTTCTTTTCAATCTTCAAATCCAATCCAATTTATTTGCTTGATATGAAATAATTGCAAATGAAATGACAATTTTTACTTTTATTCAATGCACAATCATTTGATCAGTACATCAAAAGTACATCAGTACATCAAAAGTACATCAGTACATTTCTATTCATTCAAAAACAATTCACCAATCATTGAGAGAACTTTTTACTACTAGCTTACACGGTTTGAGTTTTGATTTATCTATGATAAACGAGACACAACAATTGCCTGCATTCTGCAACAATTGCCTGCATTTAATGGACTGTTTGGATTCATTTTTCAATAACTGAGACTTGAATTATGAGAATGAAGTCTAAAAACTTGAAACCGAAACTTTAAGCTAAGCTAAGCTAAACTAGCTAGCTAAGTTAAGCTAAACTAGCTAGCTAAGCTAAGCGAAGCTAAGCTAAGTTAAGCTTAAGCAGTGGCAGTAAAGCCAGCGCAGATCCTGAAAACTGCTTTTTAACATTGTTACAATATTCCATTAAATATCCCAATTCCCTTTGATCCAAGGAAGTGAACGTTTCCCCTATGCCTTTCCATTCTTTTCCATTCCCTTCTTTCTTTCTTTCTTTCTTTCTTTCTTTCTTTCTTTCTTTCTTTCTTTCTCATCTAATGCATTTCCCTAGGCTCATTACCTGTTCCCCCTTATTTCCTTTCCTTTCCATTCATCCACTCTTTCACCTTTTCAATGCTTTGTCTTCACCAAGCAAAACTCAAGGTCACCCAGAGCCAGAGTCATGTCAGCCGTATCGTTTCGGAAACTGCTTTTGAAAAATCTCGTTTCAGGTGTAAAAAAAACTCATTTGAAAGCTGTTCTGTTCATAAACAGAATAGCTTTCAAGCTGTTCTGTTTAGATTTCTTTTTAAAATCCTATTTAACTAGGCATTCAAGTAAATTCTTAATTATTTTCTAAATAAGAATTCAATGTTTCAAAATAAGGAGTGTTCAAATTAATGGTTTCAAATTAATTTGATGTAGATTTGGAATTGGGCAGGGCAGGCAATTCTGGGCAGGAGCCACTCGACTTTTTATTTCATTCAACACTTCTTTATCAAATCTACTTTTTATTAAACTTTTGCATTGAATTTGGTCTTCGATTTAACTTGATTTAACGTAACTTAATTTAATCTTCAACTTCATTAACGATGTGCTCGAAATCAATGAGTTTTTGGGAACACTTACTGTTCGTTTTCTTACTTACTTTACACTTACTTTTTCCTAATAGTATGACATGGCCAGAGGAGCGTCGTGTAGTCGTTTTCTAGCAATTTAAGCTCTTCAAATTTTCCATACAAAGTAACAATGTTGAAACACATTTTATTACAACAAAATTTCTTTTGTTCTGTCTTTTGATCACTAAGATAAGTAGAGCACTGAGATAAGTAGAGCACTGAGATAAGTAGAGCATTGCACGAGCATTACTCAAAGTATTAGTATCATTGCAACATCATATGTGTCATCTCTCACTTCACTCTTTCTTTTCCCCTTTTCAATCACCGATCTTAAGTGAGATTTACCATCTGCTCATTTCCCGGATTCTTTCTTTTTCGTTTACTTATCGAAAAGCAATTAAACAATGGGATTTGGGAAAAAATCACATCGATTTAGCAAAGTACCAAGTACCAAGTACTCGACTCGAAAATGGTACAAAGTACCAAGTACTTAAGTACCACTTTCACAAGTTTTAGCTCGATTTTAGCAAATAAAAACCTAATAAAGAAATTTGTAAAGTCAAAAAGGATTCAAAGAAGTTATTTAAAATCGTTATTCAAGATATGTTATTCAAAATTTTCTATCCATAACTACATTTATGAGTATACTCATGGTGTACAGGGTGAAAAGAGGCCTCTTCTCCCCTTTCCACCGGTAACCCGAGAACCCACAGCTGACATTCGGCTGCTTTTCCTTTCCAAATCCATCTCTTTCTTTCCTTTTTCTCTAAATCTCTCACGTATTTCTGAAATATTCGTCTTTTTATTCTTTTTGCTCTTTTTATTCTTTTTGTTCTTTTTGAATACGTTTCAATGGGTTTTGTCAGTACAACGAAGTGTTTCTTTGGCTTAGATTTAGTGCTCCTTTTAGGTCAATATTTTGGTCAATCTTGCTTTTAGATTTGGCCTAAAAACTTGCCTTTGGCTTGATCTAGAAATTTGACTCTTCTACCAAACCTTCTACCAACCCTGACTAGTACCAGAAAGCTATTTTAGAAAGCTATTTTATAAAAAAGCTTGAGATTTTTATTAATTGATCAATTAGATCAATTATCAATGATAAATGATAAAGAAAAATGTTAAGCCAGCAAGCAAGCAGCAAGCAAGCAATCTAGCAAGCAAGCAAGCCAGCAAGCAAGCAAGCAGGCTAGCAAGCAAGTAAGCCAGCAAGCAAGCAAGCAATCTAGCAAGCAAGTAAGCCAGCAAGCAAGCAAGCAATCTAGCAAGCAAGTAAGCCAGCAAGCAAGCTTCAAGCAAGCCTTATTTCTTTCAAGTAAACAATTACTTAAGTAAATTTGTATTGAAAGCTTTTACTCAAGCATATTCTAAACAAAATCGATTCACCAATTTGAAATATATAAAATATCTAACGCAAATCATTTTCATTTTCCTTTTCTATCACTCAAAAATATGTCCGATGCGCGAATTTATCCACGTCATCCTTCTGCATTGTTCATCTTTTCTTCGACATTGTCATCCTTGTATTTGTTAACGATTTACGCCAAAAATTCTAATCTATATCCCTCTAATCTATGTCCCTTATTCAATGCCTTTAGCACTAAACTCAATGCCAAATTGGAGGCAATTCTCCGCGTAACCAGCTTTGATAAACAACTCGAAAGTTATTAGATAAAGAATTTACATCAAAAATCAATCAATCAATCAAAAAATCTCATCCCCATCATCTCTCCCTTTATCATTCTTTTGCGAACCTTTATCCTTTATCAGTCTTTAGTAGGATTTGGAATGAGCTCCCATCTGGTATCTTCTCGTCTGTAGGAAAATTAAAAGTATCTGTAAACGAATTAGATCTTTTTGCCATGTCAAATCTGCCCTATATTTAATCTTTTTGTACCTGTGTCTAACTGTAGTCTTACTGTGCCATTTTTTAGTTTTCTTTCTTTTTTTTTGTGGAAGTATTGTAGCAATATGTTAGATGCGGTTATGTTTATCTGATTCGCTTCTATTCGCCCCCTGAATAAGCATATATATATATATATATATTACGTCCGAATCCGACCGAATGAGTGTGGTCGGATTAGTCGTCCGAAACCGACCACAAGATAATCAATGGCCGGATTCGGCCGGATTCGGACGTCCGGATCGGATCCGGACGTAACATATATATAATCAATCAATCAAAATCAAATCATTTCTGCTAATCAATGAACTTCTAAAGAGCTTCTAAAGCTTCTAAAGTTCTTTAGAAGTTCTCTTCTAAGGAGCTAAAAATGTCATGTTTCAAAGTTAGTGTTTATAAATCACATTAAACCCTTTTAATGGTATCATGATGTACAATGCTTTACAAAATTTGCTACTTTGTTTTGATTTGATTCTTTTCACACCTCGATTCTTTTGTTTACATCTTTCACATCTTTCTTCCCCCTTTCAAAGGCTTTTTGACACTTCGATCCTTTTACAAACATCATTCACAGTCTCACTCTAATATTTACTCGTATGGTGACCCAGAGAAATTTTGCAACCAAAAGCTTTCAACCAACACTTTTACTTTCTTTCGCTTCTGACTTTGAATTGTAAAAGTCGGTTTTCATTCAATCGGTTGTCAGTGTGTTGACAGTAGTTAATTGCCCCTTCCCCCCCCCTCCTTTCCATTCAGATATTCCCGGGGCTGTGTGCCTAATTTGCATAATAACAAAGCATCCTCTGTAACCAGGGGACTCAATTCGAAATCCATCAAAAATTTTCCTCCTACAAATACTGAATATTTGATCAACTTTGTACAAGTGAACTTAAAGAAATGAGTAATTTCAAAAGGGAATCGGTGAAAGGGAATCGATTTTAAAGTTTGAGTTTCAAATTTTCGAAAGGTTAGGTTTCAAAGGCTTTTCTAATAAAAGCTTAGAAAATTTCAAATTTTTTGAATCAAATGGAAGAACAAATTTCTGTATTTTTGCTAAAATTCAAGAAATAAAAGGAAAATGTTTAAAGTTTCAAAAGTTTCAAAGTTTAATTTTCAAAATTGGATTAATTAGAAGCTGTGCAATGAGTTTAATGTCTGGTTGCCTGTTTTTTTTACTTGAATTTCTCAATGGATTTCTTTGTTCTTTGTCTCAATGGAAATTATTAAATTGATCTTTTAAAAGTGTTCTTTTAAAAGTGATCTTTTTACAATCTTTCAATCACTTTTAACTTTCAAATCGATTTTATGAGTTTTATGAGTCTTTATAGTCTTTAAAGTCTTTATAGTCTTTATAATCTTTATAGTCTTTATAGTCTTTATGAGTTTATTCTTTTTATAAATTCTTTTATAGTCTTTATAGTCTTTATAGTCTTCTTTTATAGTCTTTACAGTATTCTTTTATAGTTTTTATAGTCTTTATAGTATTCTTTTATAGTCTTTATAGTCTTTATAGTCTTTATAGTCTTTATGAGTTTATTCTTTTTATATATTTTTATAGTTTTATAGTCATTTTATGAGTCAAATCAGCTTTATTTATTTCAAATTGAATATTCAGATATCACAGTGAACGATCGCGATCCTCAAGACAACTTGAAGAGACAAAGAAATTCGATTTCTCAACGAAAGAGCCAAAATTCGAAGAGGAGAAGAACAATAACAGTGAGTTTTTTTTGAAAAACAATAGAAATCTATCGTATCTATCGTAGCTACAGTAAGCTACATTCATCTAATAAATCTAATACATCTATAGATGAATTAGGCTAGACTACAGTAGCCAAAGCTAGCTAGACGATTAGCTAGCTAGACGATTACTTCTTACAGTTATGAGCTCTGTGCTCATTGAAATTGAGCTTTTGTGCTCATTGAAAACACGCAGCTTCTAGTAAACTGAATTCTCTTCATTTCCTATAGGTAATGAGTGAGTTTATCAAGAAGAATCAAGAATTCAGTGCACCAGAAGAAGTGTGTTTAGTCGTTTTTACCGTAACCTACTCAGAAAACAGAAAATTTGTCTAATAATCGAAAATCAATCATGCTTTTCCACTTCATCTAATATTTTCTGTGTTAATCAAATGTCCATTTCTAAATCCTAATCCATAATATTGATTTAAAAGAAGTAAAAACTTGTATGTTAAAGTTAAATATGAGATTTGGTCACTAACTACTACTATATACTAGATTTGGTTTAAAATTTGGTCCAAATTTGTCTCTTAATGAGCTTATTGAGCACTAGTAAGTCATAAAACCAAACGATAAGATATAAAAGACTCCAACAACAAATAAGATTGTTAAGATTGTCAATTAAGATTTTCAATTAAGATTATTTTATAAAAGCTGAAAAGAATATTGATTATTTTCTCTGAACTTTAGCCAAGGCAGCGCAAGTTTTCATCCCGCAACAGCCTGGCCATTCCACTTGGGGAGCGATCGCCGGCGAGTTAAAAAATCGACAAAAGATTGCGAAGGTTTGTTTGAGAAGTTCATGTTTCAAATTTTTTCAAATTCTTGATGCAAATCGTTGTTTAATGGAGGAATTGTACGGCTCTTCTCACGTATTTTGATTAAAATTTCCTTGTTTTTTCAGACTTTAGGAAGTTCTTTAAGAAGACTTTAAGAAGACTTTAAGAAGACTAAATTCATCGATAGATGTCTATAGAGTAATCTCTATCCAATTTTATAGCCAAACACTTTGAAACAAGCAACTTTTCAACAAAGCAACATCGTTGAAAAAGCTTACAGATCTTTTTCTCAGTTAATAGCCGATAAAGCAAGGAATTAAGCAAGCAAAATTTGAAACTAAATCCTTTATTGTTTCAAAAAAGCTTCTCTCAAAGCCATTTCAAAATATTGGGTTGATGAATTGAAAACTGCGGGACTTTGAACTAAAATTTATTCAACATAAAACGATCAATTCATTCCAAAGAATTTCCATTATTATTGACGACTTCTGCCCATTTTACAGGCAATTTGCGGATTCCTCTTTCGTGGTAGGATTTTGGTTTGTGTGTGAGACAAGTGTGAGACTCAAAAATGGAGGACTGGAGATGTCAGCTGTCAGCCCAGTTTGTGCACTCTCTTCAAAAGAAACCCATTTTGGTGTCAATGGAAAAGTTGTAGAGAATCAAAAATTAGGCTTATAGCCAAATTTCCAAAAAGATACACTTAGTAGTTTCGCTTAAAATGCAAGTTTTGTGAAAATTCGTAAATTTGGGCATTTCTTGAAAACCAGTTTTTGAATCGTTCTGAAAATTTGGATATAAGCTTGATTTTTGATTCTCTACAACTTTTCCATTGACACCAAAATGGGTTTCTTTTGAAGAAAGTGCTCAAACTGTCACATATGACAATAGCCCGCAGTTTTCAATTCACCAACCCAATACATATTCAATATATTACAAACAATTTGAAGCCCATAACTTTTTGTTCGTTCGTTAACTTCTCAAATTTCCTTTTTCTTTTACTTTCATTGAAACATGGTTTTTTTCGCCTAGTTGTCGATCGCTTTTGCGCAAAAATGATTGAAATGATCGACAATCGGCCTTTTTTTTTGCCGGTTCCCCATTTATCCGGTTCTTTTCCATTTTGATGGTGAAAAACACCCCGATGAGCACAATTTTCAAATCGAAATTTCTAATCTCTCAGTGATTTTATTCGTAATCTTTTGCTAAAACAAATCTAATCGAGCAATTCTTCAATAATTTAGCTAAATCGGTGTTTCAAAGCTAACCAAACTTGGCTAAACATTTCGTTTATTGATCTAAGTCAATTTGGATCTGATTCATTGTATTCTTGTCTAAAATTACCCATCATTGATTCCTGAATTGTGAATTATACTGGATGGCGAGCTCTTCTTTAAGACTATCACCAAATCCTTCGATTCCACGTCGATCAATTTGAAACTCGAGTTTTTCTATCGCAAAAACTCTTCCCAAAACCTCCATATTTCATTTCTAATTGCTGCCAAAAGCTCAAATTCAATTCAAATTCACTTTAAATGCTATTAATCTAAGTATTATACTTTAAATCAAATAAAATTCCCCTTAAAATGTACTATTTCGGCGATTGCCTTGACTCTTTCTACCACTCGACGCTTTCTTTATTGGTGCGCTGTGCGGTGATCCCGAAAGCTGTTGCGGCTATTGAAGTAATCTAATTTGACAATGGTTTTTTTGAACATTCAAATCAAGATACTAGTTATATGGACACAAAAAAGCTGTCAAAAAAAGGCTGTCTTACACATCAAGTCGATTGAATGGAGACAAAATTTGCATTTTGATTGATATTCTTTTGATCAACTTGACTTTCATCACTGAAAGTTGTTTTCAACCATTTTCAGAAGCCCTATTTAGTCCTATACTGTTTCTAGACACTTCAAAATACCTAGGAATTCGTCTTAGTGCTTTGGCACCACGACACAGATAGCCAACAACCAACACCACCAAGCAACCAACACCCTCGAGCCTGAATGAACAGGCTGAGAGGAGTCGCTACGTCGCTGAAGCCTTCTGAGTGCTTTAACTGCTTCAGCTTTAGTGCTTTGGCAAAAAAGGTTTTGACAGTGAGGGGATTCGAACCCGGGACAAACTGAGAGACAAACTGAGAGACGAGGATACTAACCACTACACCATCCAGCCACTTGGCGAGCCAAAGTAATTTGCTTCTATACCGCGGTGGCACCGTAACAAGGGCCCAAACTTGTAAAGCATTTTCCTCGAAAATTGAATGCTATGCAGGAAAACTGAAAAATCCTTTATCCTTTTTTTGTCATAAAAAAGTCTTCAAGTGTCTCAAAAGTCTCAAAAAAGACAAAAAAGTCTTTTTGAGACACGAGTTTCAAGTTAAGGCTTAATCAAAGTGCAAAACATATTTAAAGGGTTTTTTTATGACAATTTTCAACATATCTTTCAAACAGAAACCCCAGTCATTTTCTTTAAAATTTGAATCTGCCGCCATGGTCGAGCTGCCGTCATGGCCGAGTGGTTAGGAGTCTTGTATCCCAGCCATGGCCGAGTTGTTAGGAGCCTTGTATCCCAGCCATGGCCGAGTTGTTAGGAGTCTTGTATCCCAGCCATGGCCGAGTTGTTAGGAGTCTTGTATCCCAGCCATGGCCGAGTTGTTAGGAGTCTTGTATCCCAGTCAGGACTAGTGATTAGGAGTCTTGTATCCCGGCCAGGACCAGTGTTTAGGTGGTCTTGTATTCCAGTCGAATTTCAAGGTGACATTTCTGCCCTAGGTCCATACCACAAATCGATGTAAATCCCAAATTTCGAGCAGTTATCAGAGTCAGATTGATTCATCACCCAAAAAGTGTTAAAATAAAGAAAGCCAACTGACATGAGCCTTTTGAAAAGTATTTCTCAACAAAATCCCTTACTCATTCAACGACCAGAAAAGCATCAATTATATCTTTTTACTTTATTTTAACCTTTTTTTTTTATCATTCAAGATCTTTTTTATCACTTGATAAAGTTGATTAAGTTAAAAAATTTTTACAAAAACCATTCAAAAACTTTTGGTTTTTGTCGAAAATCAAAGATTATCATCTTTTTTTTCTTTTTTTTAAGTAAAATTAAGCAAAATTAAGTAAAATTAAGCAAAATAAAGCAAAATAAAGCAAAATTAATTGAAGTAAAGCAAGTTTTTAAATAGAAAATTCAAGTTTTAGGCTCATTTAACCGATTTTTTTTTTGATGCAAGAGCTTTTTTTTGCGTTTTTTGTCCATTTAACCGACTTGATTCACTCTTTTTTCTGTTCATTTAACCGAAATTTACCAAAATAAATCAAAAACCGAGTTTTAAGACGTTTAAATACCGTAAGATCCACTGTAAGCATTATTGAAGCCATTGGGATTTTATGGAAAGGGTGACCGCTTAATTTGCGACACGAGACGGTAAACTGTGTGCTAGAGGCGGTAAACTTTGTGCTAGAGGCGGTAAACTGTGTGCTAGAGACAGTAAACTAGAGACGGTAAACTGCGTGCTAGAGACGGTAAACTGTGTGCTAGAGACGGTAAACTGCGTGCTAGAGACGGTAAACTGTGTGCTAGAGACGGTAAACTGTGTGCTAGAGACAGTAAACTAGAGACGGTAAACTGTGTGCTAGAGACGGTAAACTGTGTGCTAGAGACAGTAAACTGTGTGCTAGAGACAGTAAACTAGAGACGGTAAACTGTGTGCTAGAGGCGGTAAACTGTTTGCTAGAGACGGTAAACTTTGTGCTAGAGGCGGTAAACTAGAGACGTCCCTTAACTAGAGACGGTAAACTGTGTGCTAGAGATGGTAAACTGTGTGCTAGAGACGATAAACTAGAGACGTCTCTTAACTAGAGACAATTACAGTTGTGCAGTTAAATCATTTCCTGAAACGTGGCGAGTTTTTCGATATTTCAAATCAAAGCCTGGCTTTAAGTTGTAAAGAAAATGTTTAAAGCTTTAAAGCTTATCAAAGGCTCTGAAAAGCTTCATAACTTATCAAAGGCTCTTTTTCAAAAGACCTAATTTGAAACATGATTTTTCCAATTCTACAGTTAATCCAATAAATCTAGAAAATGAGACAAATAGTAAACTGATATGCTATTTGATTGAATACAATATTATTGAATACAATATAAATTTCTTTTTAAGCTTGGTTTTAAGATAATTTTATGCAATTTTATGCAAGCTTTATATAATTCAGGTTCGTCCTACTCCACACGTTCGACTCGGCATCACCAAAGCAAATCCATCGACAACAAGTGGAATGGCGGTGAAAGAAGAAAGCGCTTCTCCTCACGCAAAAGCCCATTCCGATTACGCGCAATTGGGCGATTTCCATTTGTGCTCACCAAATTCCACAGCTCCGAACTCGAGCACTTCAAGTGAGTCTAGGAAATTCGAGAGAAAGAAAGACAAATACTCCTGAAAAGTAGTACTCTTTTAAAAGTAGAGTAACTAATTTAAATGATTATAAATCTATAAATCAAATTCTGACTTTAAATCGCCGTGCATAACTACATTTCGGTACTTGTCGGTACTTGTCGAAAGTTCGGTACTTGCCGGGTATAAATCCACAAAGACTCATCTCGGCTAAGCATCCCCATCCGAGTCTTTTCGGTTATCGATTTTCGTTCAACTGATCGACTGATCACTTCAGACGAGCGCTCTATTCCTTGAACATAATCACCCATCAGCTCTTGTCAGCTCTTGCTTAACCTCCTTGCTGAGTTGAGTCTCTGTGGATGTACACTACTGGACAATGAAATATCATATTTGAAAAAAGTTCGTCACTTTCCCGCGTCTGTAACTCTCTTGTCTTTACCGTATTTCTAAATATTAATATTACCACCATTGTGTAGCCCTTGAAAAGAGCTTTCAGAAAATGTATAACACTAATAGTTTAAACTCAAAGACAAGGGAGTTACAGACGCGCGAAAGTGACGATCGTTTTTCAAATATCATATTTCATTGTCCAATACTGTATAACCGACAAGTACCGAAAGTCCGATAATGCCTCAATTTGAAAAAGTGATTTTTCAAAGCTACATTACATCAAAGCTATATTACACCAAAGCTACATTACATCAAAGCTATATTAAATCAAAGCTATATTAAATCAAAGCTACATTAACCTATTGAAAAGTTTGCTAAACGTAGAACAAATAGAAATTGCTAAAGATTTCTGATAATATTATGCTTTCAATAAGCGTCAAAAAAGATAATTTTCAAGATTCAAGCTTTATTTTCAAGATAAAGCTTTACAAAAATGTTCAAAAGTCATTTGCAAGAATGATTAGGTTATCTAATGAAGAAAAAACCGTATTTTATTTGATGGCTTGAGCTTTATTCAATTAGAAAATGAATTTGAGTGAAAGACTTAGTACTTAACCAAACAAATTTCGTTTCAAAATCATCGAAATTCATATTCATCCAAAAGGTACTAACTCACTTAAAAAGCTACTTATAATGAAAAAATTTGAAACATTGATTTTTTCATTGATTCAAAACTTTACTTAAACATGTTAATGAGCTTTTTTTAGATGAGATTAGAAGCTAGAGCAACTCTTAACCACTCAACACTCAAATAGCTCTTAAATTTCAGGTTTATTATTCCCAAAAGACGAAGACGCCGTGTCAGTTGCGGGAACGGTTTTCAACGAGCCTTGGGACAGTAATGTTTGGGAGAATCTATTGGACTTGGCTCAGCACGGCGATCCGCGGCCGAATCGTTGGTTTTTTCTGAGGAAATTATCGAGAAATTGAATAGATTGCAATAGTTTTATTAGTATTTGATCATTACTGGAGGTTACAACCATTAGCTTGATCATTAGCTTGATCTTTAGCTTGATTATTAGCTCGATCATTAGCTTGATCATTAGCTTGATAATTAGCTTGACCATTAACTCGATCAAATTCTACATAAATAATTTCAAACATTTCGTTACAATTCGCGAAGAAAATCAGCCACCTTTTATCAACAAAGTTACCGTAAACTGTAGAGTAAAAGACTTGTTAGCTTAAATATTCTTAAAATTATTTTAAGCACTTTAAACAGCACTTTGATTGCGAAGATGAGGTCAAAAAGTGGTTCAGAGGCTTTTTTCACCCTTTTTCACAAACTTCTAAGACTTTTTAGAAGAAAAGGATCCGGAAACTGCCAGAAAAATAAGAAAAGTTTATCAAAAATAATCGATAATATTTAGATTAACTTACAGTAAATACTGTAATAGTACCCCACCCCCATAGTGACGGCGCAGAGCGTTGCGTAGTCTAGCTTTGGACGCGTTTTTCTCGACACTGGTTTATGCTACAGGTATCAAGTAGGTATCAAATAATAGCCCTGAATTTCAGTTATTTTTTGCTACCTAAACGCGCATTATAGCATAAATCAGTGTCGAGAAAAACGCGTCCAAAGCTAGACTACCCAATGCTCTGCACCGTCATTATGGGGGTGGGGTACTATTACAGTATTTATGGTAGGTTCCTGTTGTTCTTGAATCAAATTTTTGTTTTAAAGTGCATCATTTTCAACTTAACAACTCATATTTTAAGTCACGTTTCAGGAATGAACGAAACAATCACTGAAGAGGAGGACACAAGCTCGGATCGAACCGGGGAAAGCAGTCAGATGCAGGATTCGGACGATGAAATGGTTTGGGAAAGATTGGAAAAAAATTTTGTAATTTATAAATATATAATAATCATTTTTATAGGTTAAATTTCTAAGTTATGTTCGTTCCTAGGTGTAAACGGATATGGAATAGAATTTGGGTTAATTTAAAGAGATCCTTGTGATATCCCGCCATCTCTAACACCCCGATAACCCAACTCAACTCCTCCAACGTATTAGAGGAGAATCCCAGTGAAATCGACCTGAACTGCAGTTGCATAGACCCGGAAGATATGTATCTTTATTTACAGTAGTACGATAAGACGAACAGATTACAAATGAGTGAAAGGGGGAGGGGGATTCGTAGTGAGAGCCTCACTTGTCCTCCTAGGCAATCCCAAGGGCCGCCCCTTCTCGGCGATGAAAGGGATAAGCACAGGGGAGAACACATTTACATAAGAATAGACAAATCATTCAATAATAACAATAGTAACTAAAATATCAGTTTGGCCCGGAGCTGACAGTTATCAGTTATAAATCGAAATTTTTACCTGTTTGAAATTTAGTGGAATCGATTAAAGTTTTCATATTGAAAGCTAGATTTCTTTTTTATAGATTACTAGATTTGAATACTTTGAAACATTTATTTTGCAATCAAAAGAATTCACTGAACAATTCAGAGAGTTCAAAAAAAACTATTGTTTCAAAATGAGACCAGTGAAAAGATGGAATTGACTTTAGTTCACCTTGGCCTCAAGATTCTAAGTTTGATTCTAAAATTTGATTCTTTTAATTGTTTAATTGTTTTGATTGTTTGGAAAAATTTGATTCTTTATTGCTTTATCGCTTTGGATAATAACTAGCTTTTTAAAAACCTGAAAACCTTTTTAAAATGCTTTAAAAACTCTATTGAGCAATGATTGAAAAACCAATGTTTCAAAATGAATTGAGATAAAAACGAGAAATGAAGTGCAATTTCCTTCTTTTCGTTTTTCTTTTTTCATTGAATACTTTGAAACATTTATTTTGCAATCAAAGCAATTGACTTTAGTTCTGCTTGGGCTCAAGATTCTAAGTTTCATTCTAAAATTTGATTCTTCATTGCCTTATCGCTTTGGATAATAACTAGCTTTTCTAAAACCTAAAAACCTTTTTAAAATGCTTTAAAATCCCTATTGAGCAATGATTTTAAAACTAATGTTTCAAAATGAATTGAGATAAAAACGAGAAATGAAGTGTAATTTCCTTTGGTGGTCTTTTGATCTTTGAATACTTTGAAACATTTATTTTGCACTCAAAACAATTCAATGAACAATTCCATGTACAATTCCAACAATTCAAAGAAAACTATTGTTTCAAAATGAGAGGAGTTAAAAGATTTTTTTTCTTTGGTCATTCAATACTTTGAAACATTTATTTTTCGATCAAAGCAATTGACTTTAAGAACTTTAAGAAAATGACTTTAAGAGCTTGGGCTCAAGATTCTAAGTTTGATTGTAAAATTTGATTCTTTTAATTGTTTAATTCTTTTGATTGTTTGGAAAAATTTGATTCTTTATTGCTTTGGATAATCACTAGCTTTTTTAAAACCTAAAAACCTTTTTAAAATGCTTTAAAAACTCTATTGAGCAATGATTTAAAAACCAATGTTTCAAAATGAAATGAGATAAAAAGGAGAAATGAAGTGCAATCAAATCATTGCCTTTGTTAGTCATTGAATACTTTGAAACATTTATTTTGCAATCAAAACAATTCAATGAACAATTCCAAGAGTTCAAAAAAAAATAATGTTTCAAAATGAGACGAGTTAAAAGATTTTTTCCTTGGTCATTGAATACTTTGAAACATTTATTTTTCGATCAAAGCAATTGACTTTAGTTCTGCTTGGGCTCAAGATTCTAAGTTTCATTCTAAAATTTGATTCTTTATTGCCTTATTGCTTTGGATAATAACTAGCTTTTTTAAAACCTGGAAACCTTTTTAAAATGCTTCAAAACCTCTATTGAGCAATGATTTAAAAACCAATGTTTCAAAATGAAATGAGATAAAAAGGAGAAATGAAGCGCAATCAGATCATTTCCTCGGTTGGTCATTGAATACTTTGAAACATTTATTTTGCAATCAAAGCAATTGACTTCTTGGGCTCAAGATTCTAAGTTTGATTGTAAAATTTGATCCTTTTAATCGTTTAATTGCTTTGATTGTTTGGAAAAATTTGATTCTCTATTGCTTTATTGCTTTGGATAATAACTAGCTTTTTAAAAACCTAAAAACCTTTTAAAAATGCTTCAAAACCTCTATTGAGCAATGATTTAAAAACCAATGTTTCAAAATGAAATGAGATAAAAAGGAGAAATGAAGTGCAATCAGATTATTTCCTCGGTTGGTCATCAAATTCTTTGAAACATTTATTTTGCGATCAAAACAATTGAATGAATTCCAAGAGTTTAAAAACTTTACTTTTTAATATCAATAACTTTTAGGATCTTCCCCTATCAACGAGCTACTACAGCTCGTCCACACAACGCAAAATCCCTTCCGATCATGTGACGGTGAAAGCATGGGAGAAAGAGAACAGTCATTATAGGTGCGTGGATCGGCTTATTCAAGAATTTTTGTATTAAAAAGCGAACGGCTTAAAGAATATTAGACTTTTATTCTCTAAACATTAGCCATCTTAACATTGAAACATTGAAACTCAATTTTTAGCAATTTCGCGACGATCGACTCGAGACGCGAGGGCTCACAGAGGGGAACTTTGGGAAGAAATCGGATACCAAGCCCCGAACCGAGCATGCATTCGGTGAGAAAACATTTTGTTGTGAAAGTGGCGAGCATTTAGAACATTTAGATGTTTTCGAGCATTTAGAAACAGAAATTTACCATTTTACTTCAATTTTACGATTAGTTTGACGTAGAGTTCGGCAAACAAAACCAAAACCAAAACAGACCAAAACCAAAACCAAAACCAAAACCAAAACCAAAACCAAAACACCAAAACAAACCAAAACTCAATTTGCATTTTATCGAGTGCACAGTCGAGGGAGAGGAGTGTGATCCAATGGTTTGTTTTTGGTGGTTTCAACTTCTTGTTTTTAGGAAATTTTACAAAGTTAACCCATTTTGAAGCGTTATTAAAAACAGAGTTTCAACTTTAAACTTAATCTATTTCTTTAAAGGCTTTTAATGCCCTTTTTTGGGTATTTGAAATCAACGGAGGAGATTTTTACCCCTAATTACCCCTATTGTCTAAATGTTGTTAAGAAAAAAAAACCCTACTAAAACCTAGAGTTCGGCAAACAAAACCAAAACCAAAACCAAAACACCAAAACAGACCAAAACCAAAACAAACCAAAACTCAATTTGCATATAAATTAACATGTAAATTTAAAATTGTAAAATGCAAATTTTAATGTAAAATGCAAATTAGCCTTTCACTTTTTCTCACTCCACAAAATCTCGCGGCCGAAAAAAGGACCAAAACACGACCTCGAAATTTCGAAACAAAAAAATAGCCTATGGGATAGATTTTTGGACGCTGATTTCAAATCTGCAAACAGATTTTCGCTAGCTCCTCCCAATCGCAAGATATTGGCGAGTTTTGGTTTGTTTTGGTTTTGGTTTTGGTTTTGGTTTTGGTCTGTTTTGGTTTTGGTCTGTTTTGGTTTTGGTTAAGTTTTGTTTTCCGAAGTCTAGTTTAACGACTATTTTACGATTTTCAGAAACCTTTAGTTTTCGAGAGAGAAATTCAACAAGAAACACTTAGAGAAAATTTATTTAGAGAAAAGCATAGGTTAATTGGTGAATTTGTGATTTTCCATAAGGAAATACGAAAAGAAACGAAAAGACTTTCTGGACAGTGTAACAATATAAGCACTTCAAGTAAAAAAATACCTGAGCCGGCTTGTTTCTGGGTGAATGACGAAGCAGGGCAGCCTCATGACGTTGAAATTCAACAAGAAACACTTTTTATTTAGAGAAAAGCATAGGTTAATTGGTGAATTTGTTATTTTTTAAAATGAAATTATGAAATTATGAAAAGAAACGAAAAAAAAGACTTTCTGTACAGCCTAATAAGTCCACAAAAGGCGTGTTTATGAAGGTAAATGCAGTTAAATGATAAATTACTATCATTCAATACAACCTACCGTAAATACTGTAATTGGACCCCACCCCTCTAATAGTACCCCACCGTAGAGGGGGGGGGGAATAATACCCCACCCCTATAACAGTACCCCACCTCCACCTAACGCATAACTACAAACAACTCTTTTAAAGCGGAAAATTTTCATGTATTTCCTTATTATGATTCAAAAAAGCTGAAATTTCTTTCAAAAGAAGCCATGGCTGGATGGAGTCGTTCTTGAGGCGTCACCAACTTTCTTTGAGGGCACCAACAACAACTTGTCAAAAGCTGCCGAGTCAAATTTGAGAAGGCCATCGTCGAGCACATTCTGAGGCTGAACAAGACAATCAAAGAAGGCGATTACAGGCACAGTGGTGTAAAATAGTGACCTACCCTCTAATAGTGCCCCACCCTCTAATAGTACTCCACCCTAGAGGGGGAGGGAAAAAATAGTACCCCATGGGGTCCAATTACAGTATTTACGGTAATGCATTTGGATTATCTAAATGATCAATTATTATCATTCAATAAAGCCTAATGCATTTGGATTATCTTTCTAGATTGCAGGAATCGTATTTTCTCAAATAGTAGTGCAGCCGGCCCCAGCGAACCGAGTTGATGACTATTTTCCAGTTGATGACTCGATTTCCAGAAACCAGAAAAACGCGCCTAACAGCTGGTTTTATTATAATTGAAACATTGAAATTGGAAACACTTTTTTCATTTCAACATTCATTGCAACAACACAGTGGAAACATTTTTCGTTGCACTCTCAATGTTTCAACATGTTTGGGATGTGTGATAGGAGCATTGAATTAACTAATAAACTAATTAACATACCGTAGATGTTTTTGAGGTTTTTGCTGCTTTTCCGCTAATGTGTGAACGAAAAATCTGAAAAAATTGTGAGAAAATGAGAAAACCTCGATCAGATCGTCCTCCATCAGAATTTGTTTTCATTTTTCAAAATGGTAATTTGGTTTTGAATGAAAATGTGAAAAAGGAACTTTGGGATTGCCTTGGAGGACATTTACCGTATTCTCTCTAATAGTAGTTGCAATTGTAATGTAATTGCAATTGTAATATGATTTAAATTTACTATTTAAATGATCAGTACCTGTTTTTACATCTAATTTGCTCTAAATTCAAGAATTTCAAGTACCGTATTCTCTCTAATAGTAGTACGCACTACTATTTTTTTCAATCCCCTCTCGGACCGCAATACTATTAGAGAGAATACTATTCGATAGTGTAATACTATTAGAGAGAATACGGTATTCACATTATTCATGTGAATAAATGTAAATTGATTTTCCAGTTACCCCGCGCCGTTTCCCGTTTCTCTGAGGCCTGCATGGGTAGTTTGGACGATTTGCCTACCCTTCAAAATCTCAATTCTTTCTCGCCGTTGATCTCGAGTCAACGAAAGAAGCCACAAACGGAAGAATTCGGAGCGATCACCATTCAGAAATATGTGGAAAAGTTAGTTGTTTGCAAATCTATTCTATGCAGATCCGAAAAAAATACTAGAGCTATTTTTTCTTTTGTTATATTGATTCCAGTTGATGTTATATTGATTATTGTTCAACTACTCTTTTTAATGATCAAAAGATCTCTGTTCTTGCGCTGAACTGTACTGAACAATCTATAATTCATAAAATTTCAGAATAATCCGTTTATCGGTTTATTCTAAAGTTTTGAATCAATGAATCAATGAGAATCAATCAATGAAAAAATCAATGTTTCAAATTTTTTTATTAGAAGTAGCTTTTCAAGTGAGTTAATGCTTTTTCGATGAATATGTGATGATTTTGAAATGAAATTTGTTTCGTTAAGTACTAGGTCTTTGACTCAAATTCATTTTCTAATTGAATAAAGCTCAAGCCATCAAATAAAATACGGTTTTTTCTTCATTAGATAACCCAATGCGTTTCTTGCGTTTCTCTAGCTTCTAAACTCATCTAAAAAACTCATTAACATGTTTAAGTGAAGTTTTCAATCAATGAAAAAATCAATGTTTCAAATTAACTTATTACAAGTAGCTTTTTAAGTCAGTTAATGCTTTTCGACCGCCGTCGCGTCTAAGTTGACTCTAAAACAAACACTCATATCTCGACACCAGTACGTTTGTTTCTGCACGCTTTGATATCAAATTAAAGTAGAGAAGATGGGTGATTTTTTGAGATATGATACATATTTTTAGCATTAAACAGCGTTTAGAAAAAAATGATTGAAAATTGTCAAAAAAAAGAGGCGATTTTTCATCAACCTCAAATCAACATCTCAAACAAACGCTCAGATCTTAGCACTTGTTCGTTTGTTTCCAGGCGTTTAGGTATCAAATTAAAGTAGAGAAAATGGGTGATTTTTTGAGATATAACACATCTCTTTAGCATTAACCAGCGCTTAGAAAAAGATGATTGAAAATTGTCAAAAAAAAGCGATTTCGATTTGATACCCGTCAAATTGAAACACATTTTTTGAAACCAATTTCTCAAAGATTAAACCATTCTTGAATTCTGTACAAAACTACAAAAAAACTGTTGAAATAATTGGTAAATTTATCGTTATAGAGCTAAAATTAAAGAATAATACAAATAAAATTGTTTAATGATTGTTACTGGCTTTTTTTCCTCGAATTTGAAACAAGCTTTTTGAAATCAAACTTTAAAATCGACAACATTCGAAAAATTCAATTTAAAGATCAAATATCTTTCGGTATCAAGAAATTTTTGAAAATTTAGACTAGCTGAAAGCAGTACAACGGTTTTTGGGGCCACAGTCCGACGTTTTATCGAGTGCACAGTCGAGGGAGAGGAGTGTGATCCAATGGTTTGTTTTTGGTCCAAATCCAATGGTTTTCAAGTTCTTGTTTTTAGGAAATTTTACAAAGTTAACCCATTTTGAGGCGTTATTAAAAACAGAGTTTCAACTTTAAAGTTAATCTATTTCTTTAAAGGCTTTTAATACCCTTTTTTGGGCTTTTGAAATCGATGCTATTTGGTACTTTTTGTTAACTTGAAATGGAAATGGCTCAGGCATTTTTAATGCTCAGGCTCAGGCTCAGGCATTTTTAAGGCTTAAAAAGGTTTTTAAAAGCTATCTGTTAAAAGCCTTAAAGCTTTCAAAAAGCTTTTTTAGCTTAATCAATCGATTTTCTTGTAGGTTGTTGTTCGAAATGTTCGCCAATTCATTAACGGAATCAAGAACTACTTGGTGAAACATGGAGAAGGCGATTTGCATGAGGTGAACATTAAAAAGACAAGAGATAAAAATTAGCATAAAGCTGGTTTTCAAGCCATCAACTTTACAAGATTTTCAATCGATTTTAAAAGATTTTTTCCAGCTAATCACCATAGAAACATCTCGTCTGAACGCGAATCGAATCCTCAACATTGACGCTATTCTTGAAGCCGTTTTGCACAAGATTTTGCTGAGTAAGTAAATGAAAAAGAGAAATATAAACAAAAGAAACAAAAGAAACAAAGCTCTGACGAGATACCGTGTTTCAACGTGGCGAGGCCGTAGCCCGTCTGTCTGTCTGTTATTACTGCGTCAAATACATTTAATGGCCCTATTACGCTGCACTTTTTTTGTTTCATTCGCTTTATATGTGCTAACCCCTTAGACAAGGCTACCCATTTGGATCCCTGGTTATCCCAATCCCGAGGGGAGGGGGCCTAGGGGAACCAGTCTTGGGAACCAGTCTTGGGAGCCAGTCTTGGGAACCAGTCTTGGGAACCAGTCTTGGGAACCAGTCTTGGGAACCAGTTCACCATATGGGTGCGGTTACCTACAGCACTCGGTTCATGGAAGATCTCCCTGACTCAACTGCTGGATTCGAACCAGAGATTCGAACCAGAGATTCGAACTAAACAAGCCGAATATGTCAATATTTCAAATATTGCAAGCACTGACTCTAATGTTAATTAGCAAACGGGCACCAGCTACCGTAACGCTTGTAAATATTTTTTAGTCGATTTTACGGTAATCTTTACGATTACATGCGAAACTACTGTAAAAAACTACTGTCGAAACTACTGCAAAATCTAGTTACAGTTTACGGTAGACAAAGGCTTAAAGTTTCCTTTTAGAGTGATTAATTAACAATATAAAAGCTTTCAAAAGTTCAAAGTTATAAAATCTTAGAGGCTAGACGGTTTCAGAGCATAATCTGTAATAAATTTAGAAGTTTTGTTTGTTTTTTGTTGGTTTCAAAGTCTTTCTTGTGTCGTTTTGTTGTCTCAAAGTTATTCAAAGTTCTGTCAGATCTGTTAGCTTCTCTCAAAATCATTTCCAGACTCAATGAAAAATCCAATAAATGAATTGAATCAAAATTGATTGAATTTTGATTATAAAAGAAGTCAAATTTATGAAAAGTTTACCCGATTTACCCGTTTACCTGTTTACTGGTTTACTCATTTACTCGTTTACTCGTTTACCCGTTTACTCGTTTACCCGATTTACCCGTTTACTCGTTTACCCGTTTACTCGTTTACTCGTTTACCCATTTACTCGTAAGTTCCCCAAATCTGAATTCAATTTCAGGACCAGTGAAGCCACATTTGTACCATTTAATGGTAAAAGAGCAATCGAGAAGCGGAACACTCCAAGCTTTATCTACGAATCTCTCATTGGCAAAGGGAATGTCACTAAAAGAGCTTGGTTTTCGCAATCCTGAACAGGTTTGTCTTACAAAAAGTTGAGAATTTAATTCAGCTTTTTATTTAGCTTAATTTATCAAGCTTTCAAATTTCATTACTCTTTTCAGCTCGCGCAGCCAAACGCGATGACAATGGAGCAGATTAAAGTGTGTCTACGGAAAATGCAACACCACTATTCACCATTGAAGAAATTCGAGAACTTATTGAGGTAAATAGTTAAATCGAAATCCTGTTTTTGACATATTTATCATTTAATTTGTTTACTTTTTATTCTTATAAACTTTTCTTGATAGGTTTTAAGTGATTTTATAAGTAGCTAGTGCAATTTAGTGTATAATTAGCGTAATTTTGTTTTGCCTTTTGCCTTTTGCAGATAAAGCATCACGAAAGTTAGTTGAAAATGTGCAGAAAAGTTTAGTACCAAGATTTTGCTATTAGCCAAAGCTGAATTTCGTCATTGATTTCTCTCAAAAGTCGCAATTGAGTTTTAAAAAACGAATATCCTAATCTAGACTGAATACCGGAACCCAGCTAATCTTAACTGAATACCTTAAACAAGACTGATAACCCTAATCGAAACTGAATACCGGAACCCAGCTAATCTTAACTGAATACCTTAAACTAGACTGATAACCCTAATCTAGACTAAATACCGTGATCCAGCCAATCTAGACTGAAAACGTAATTGAAACTAGAATTAGTTGAAGTAATTAGTTGCGTTAAAATTGTGTCTTACAAATGTTAAGGCTTTAAAAAACGAAACAAAATCGTATTTTTTATCTACTCTTTGTTTATTTATGATCTATTTAAGCGATTTAAGCGATTTAAGCGATTTCTATTTAAACATTTTGAAATTAGAGCAGTTTTTTTAGAGCAGTTTCTCTTGTGGCTCAACCGGATCGTTGGTCGTTGGATGAGGAGAATTCGGGAGGAGTGAACGCATCGGAAACTCTTCAAAGAACGCAATCGATTCACATTCCGAATGCAGATGGTATAGAAAGCAAAAGAAAAAAAAAGAATGGATTAGAGGGATTAGAGGGCTGCTTGATCAAGAAAAATACTCAAACTTGAAACTTTGACTTTCAAATTTTCGTTTCAAGTATTCAATTTGGAACTGTATCCGAACCATATTGGAACCATATTGGAACCGTATCTGACATAGATACGGTTCAGATACGGTTCCAATATGGTTCCAATAAGGTTCAGATACCGTTCCAATATGGTTCCAATATGGTTCCAATATGGTTCCAATATGGTTCCAATAAGGTTCAGATACCGTTCCAATATGGTTCCAATAAGGTTCAGATATGGTTCCAATATGGTTCCAATATGGTTCAGATACGGTTCCAATATGGTTCCAATAAGGTTCCAATAAGGTTCAGATATGGTTCCAATATGGTTCCAATAAGGTTCAGATACGGTTCCAATATGGTTCCAATATGGTTCCAATATGGTTCGGATACAATTCCAAATTTAATACTTGAAACGAAATCTTTTCAAATTTGAAACTCAAAGTTTTAAGTTTGAGTATTTTTCTACATAAATATGACGTTTTTATCATAAGCGTTTCTTATAAACAAAAAACTAACAGAAAACAATAAAATATTCATTATTATCTATTAGCTTTCATCAATCAACATATATATTGATTTTAAAATCAAGTTTTAAAGGAACACTGGATGGAAGTTGTTTGAATTGAACAAAAAGAGAAAGAAAAGCGGCCAAAATATTAGGTTTTTCGGATATAAACAAGCGTTGTTAAACTTATTGTTGTGTTGTTGTTGTTGAGAAGCTTTTAAAACATGTCTTTCTGTATTTAAAGGACGTCATCTTGTGCATATTCGGAATCTTTTTAAAGCATTTGGGAATAATGTATTATCCGAAAGCCGATGCCGAGCCTGGTTCCAACGCTTTCGGAATGATGATGAAAGTCTCGAGGATGGTGAACACTCTCGTCGATCTCAAGACCTCAAGACCTCAAGCGGTAGACAACGATATTTTGAGGGCTGCAATCGAATCGGATCCATGTCAAACGACGCGTGAACTTGCTCAACAGTTTCTATGTTCAAATTCTACTATTCATTAGCATCTCCATGCCATTGAAAAGGCGATTAGATACGGGGAAATAGCTTCCTCACGAGTTAAGCAGTGCAAACAAGGCTTCACGGGTCGCTATTACCGGAATCCTCAGCCGCCACGCTAAATATCATGGCTTTTTTGGTTCTCTCGTTACTGGAGATGAGAAGTGGATTCATTTCGATAATACTATTCGAAAACGGAAATGACTAGGACCAGGAGAACGGCCAAATCCGATCGTGAAACTGGACATTCATGGGGAAATGGCTTCCTCACGAGTTAAGCAGTGCAAACGCTCGTTTATATCCGAACAACCTAATAACTATTTCTATCATTAGTGCTAGTTTTTAAGAAATCATAGTCTGAAAAGCTAAAAAAGCTAAAAAAGCTAAAAAAGCTAAAAAAGCTAAAAAAGCTAAAAGAAAAGCGGTCAAACTAACTTTCAAATACGAATTACTTTTTCCTATAGTGAATAAAAAGCATTCAAATGTTAGATTTTAAAGTTTATATTTAAAATTTTCATCTCTTATTTCAGATCTCGTTCGCTGGTTTGTCTATATTCTTTCGAGAACGTCGACGGTTGGGTGTGAAGTGGAAGCGTGGTACATGTGGGAGCTTCTACCGCAACAAATGATCACACAGGGTTCGTTTTTTACCTTTAAAAGACATCATTTCTCAAATTTCATGTGAAAAATAAGTTTTAAATTTGTTAGCTTTAAGGGAAATGCTCTTTGTCTAATCATCAAAAAAAAAAAACGATTTTTCCTTTATCAAAAAAAGTTTGTTGAACTTGTTGAAGTGAATTTGAGTGAGTGTGTTTTCTAATTCAGCGATTTGTTGAAATCATTTGAATGATTAGTTGGATTTTCGTTGAAAATTAGTGATTTTAGTTGAAAATGAGTGAATTTCGTTGAAAATGAGTGATTTCCTAGTCCAAACAAGTTACTGATTGACTCTTTTCGACAAAAATTCTTCTACCGACTAATCGATGACTAATGAATCGACTCGAAAGAGTTTTGAGAGAGTCCAATAGTCTTAAAGCCTTTAAATCTGTAGATGATCTTGATGTTGAAGCTCTAGGGGACTCTTGACGCTATCTATATGCTACCCATTACATACATTATAACGTGTTGCTTTTCATCGGCCCTTTTCGTGTTTATGTGTATTAAATCTTAAATCTAGCGCACTTTATCTCAGGTCATGAATCAAGTACCTACACTACTGGACAATGAAATATCATATTTGAAAAACGATCGTCACTTTCGCGCGTCTGTAACTTCCTTGTCTTTACCGTATTTCTAAATATTAATATTACCATTGTGTAGCCATTGAAAAGAGCTTTCAGAAAATGTATAACACTAATAGTTTAAATTCAAAGACAATAGAGTTACAGACGCGCGAAAGTGACGATCTTTTTTCAAATATGATATTTCATTGTCCAGTACTGTACGTCCGAATCTGAGGAGACGTCCATCTCCGATCCGGACGTCCGAATCTGAGGAGATTCATTCTCCTCTGAAACGGACGTCCGGATCGGAGATGGACGTCCGGATCGGAGATGGACGTCCGTTTCAGACGTCTCCTCAGATTCGGACGTAACATATATACAATTCCTCAATTCCAGGCGACGCCTCATTCTATTTGGGCGCTCTCTTCTCCGCAGTTCACATTCTCAAAAATGCGGACGCGATTCGGCGAATGTCCGACGATGCGAGCGTCAGAAGCACTTTGGTAAGCCGATTTTGAATTTCTGAACAAACGAAGTGATAAACTGGCCGGCGGGATTGAACCCTTGACCTTTTGACTAGCAAGGGAATGAGCCAAGCAAACACCAGTTGAATATAAGCATTTCAAATATCTATTCAGTTTTTGCTCAAATTGAAATCCTGATGAGAAAAATGCATTTAAAGTTTTGACGATTTTCGAATCGTCAAATCGTCTTCTAGTCAATAAGAGCGCGTTACACTCGAGCCAAAATAGAGCAGCGGTGGCCTAGAGGCTAGTGTGTCGGGTTATAAAACGCACGCCCTGTTTTGCGGTGGGTTCGAGTCCCGTCACCGACAGGCTTTCTTGCTTTTTTGGAAAAAAAGACGAATACCATTTTGTAAGGGATAGGGCTTATCGACATTAGCAGAAATTATGGAAAACTAGGAAATTTGATCGAAATCTACCAATTTTTTTTTCAACTTTGAAACTACTTTGAAGCACACAATTCCCACTTTAAAAACCGATCTTTTGTCTGTTTCATTTTGAAAGTCCAAGACTTTACACTAGCTAAAACCTAAGACTGTAATTTTACAAAGAGCTTAAAGCTATTAAGTAGCTACGTCGGAGTAGCTGATCTATTGATCTATTGATCTTGAAGATCTATTGATCTTGAAGGTCTATTGATCTTAAAAATCTATTGATCTTGAAAGTCTATTGATCTTGAAGATCTATTGATCTATTGATCTATTGATCTTGAAGATCTATTGATCTTGAAGATCTATTGATCTATTGATCTATTGATCTTGAAGATCTATTGATCTTAAAAATCTATTGATCTTAAAAATCTATTGATCTTGAAAGTCTATTGATCTTGAAGATCTATTGATCTATTGATCTATTGCTCTTGAAAGTCTATTGATCTTGAAAGTCTATTGATCTTGAAAGTCTATTGATCTTGAAGATCTATTGATCTTAAAAATCTATTAATCTTAAAAATCTATTAATGCTGAAGATCTATTGATCTTAAAAATCTATTGATCTATTGATCTATTAATCTTGAAGATCTATTGATCTTGAAGATCTATTAATCTATTAATCTTGAAAGTCTATTAATCTTGAAAATCTATTAAAATCATTTTCCAGGACCTCTCTCGAGCGTGCACGTCAAACTCGTCTCTTTCAAGTGATGCCTTTTTGAGGGTGGCCGTGCCCGATGAAGTGAATGGATGCATTCGGTGAGTAAAAGATACTCAATCTTTTTAGAAAAATGATATCAACAAAAATTGTGGGACATTTGATGCCCCTTTTGCCCCGCCCATTTTACCATTAGCAATCTAACTTTGAGCTCATCCGCAGCCTTAGAAATCCAGACAAATGGATACTTAAAAAGTTCGTGTTTCAATGTGGTTACGGAAGATTTTAATAGCACTACGCTAATGATCACCATTTGGTACGACATTTGATATTGGAATTGCCATTGGCAATCTAACTTTGAGCTAAAATTTCTCGGCGTCGGGTTATTCAATTTAAATAGTTTTTGTACCAATCGATAGAGAAAGACTTGGCGCATCCAATGATAGCAAAAATGTATAAATTGAACCACCCAACACCAAGATATTTGAGCTCAAAGTTAGATTGCCAATGGCAAAGGGGGTGTGGCGTCTGATGCCTATTAACAAACGAGTTTCCAGCTACTGTACACTGCCCGGTGTTCCGCAAATGACAGTAAGCAAAATTTGCAAAGTGGTCGCTCATCAACAAGGGATCACGAACCCGGAGGACTATGGATTGTAAGTTTTATTTGTAAATCTTATTCCTGTGTTTTCGGAAAGACTTCTATTTTATTCAGCTATTCAATAGAAAGACTAAAATGTGTTCCTCTTGATTACTGCACCTTCAAAAAGACACCGATTTTATTCAACTACCGTAATCCACCCGCCGGTTTTCATTCGATCAGTCAATGACACAAAAATTGGGTTGATCGAATGTAAATTAGCGGTTGGATTACGGTAGTTGAATAAAATTGGTGTCTTTTTGAAGGTGCAGTAATCAAGAGGAACACATTTTAGTCTTTATGCTTAGATATTTCTTTGGGTTACTGTAGGTAGCTGTAGATTACTGTAGGTTGCTGTAGCTTACTGTAGGTTACTCTAGGTTACTGTGGATTACTGTAGGTTGCTGTAGGTTACTCTAGGTTACTGTGGATTACTGTAGGTTGCTGTGGATTACTGTAGGTCACTGTAGCTTACTGTAGATTACTGTAGATTACTGTAGCTTACTGTAGGTTACTCTAGGTTACTCTAGGTTACTGTAGGTTGCTGTAGCTTACTGTAGGTTACTCTAGGTTACTGTGGATTACTGTAGGTTGCTGTAGGTTACTGTAGGTTGCTGTAGGTTACTGTAGGTCACTGTAGCTTACTGTAGGTTGCTGTAGCTTACTGTAGGATTTTACAGTCTCTATGGCCATTCCTATTGAAATAGATTTGAAATTAGGTTTTTGAGCTTGTTTCAAAAGTATCCAGCATCTAAAGCATCTAAAGCATCATCTAAAGCAAAAGAGCAAAAGTATCCATCATCTAAAGACATTTCTGAACGACAATCTCCCAACCTTAAGCAGAAAATACGCAAAGAAAATCCAAATAAAGAACAAAGTGAATCCATTCACAAGGAAATCTTCTCAGATACATTCTCCGCTCGGGTTTCGAGGACTGTCTTCATCCCACCGATTCCCCATTCTTGGTTCGAGAAGTGGCGAGAAGCCATCAAACACCGCATCTCTTTGTCTACAAAAGACATGACGCGAAAATCGCCTGGCCTCAGCAATTGCCCGTGGCGAGGAGTCCCGCCATTGGTGGGCACACTTTGCCACAATTATCCATCTAACTGATTAAATTAAGAATTTCTTCCACTCAAATAAAGCGTTTTTTTAAAATATATCTTTCTCTTTCTTGTCTCTTTCTGGAGAAACGCTAGAGCTTCGTCCAGAAGCGCCAAATCAATTTACATCCATCGATGAAAATTTAGCAAAATCTTCAGGCTATATCATGGCTACAATAAATTGAAGATTTGAAGCTTGTAGAGCGAGCTAAAGGGGCTTAAAGGAGTTGCGCCTTGCGTTTTTGCGTCTCTACCCAAGTTTGAGCCTTTCTAGCTCGCTCCAAAAGCTTTAAATCAAATTTTTAGCTGATTTTTCCAATGTAGATTGATACGGTGAATCGATTGGCAACAGTTAGAAGTTTATTGGATAACGGGCAAAGGTTTAAAACCTCTGCTCTCTTAAATTTTCTTCTTTGGGTTGAAATCGATTTGGTGATCAGCTGCTCTCAATGATCAGCAGCTCTCAATGATCAGCAGCTCTCAATGATCAGCAGCTCTCAATGATCAGCTGCTCTCAATGATCAGCAGCTCTCAATGATCAGCAGCTCTCAATGATCAGCAGCTCTCAATGATCAGCTGCTCTCAATGATCAGCAGCTCTCAATGATCAGCTGCTCTCAATGATCAGCTGCTCTCAATGATCAGCAGCTCTCAATGATCAGCTGCTCTCAATGATCAGCTGCTCTCAATGATCAGCTGATCTCAATGATCAGCTGCTCTCAATGATCAGCTGCTCTCAATGCTGCTGCTGCTGCTCTGCTGCAGCTGCTCTCATTGAAGTTAACAATTTTGAAAGCCTCTCAATCAATCATCAATAATCCAATCGCTTTCGTTAATTGATTGCCTTTAATACCAATTTTGGAATACACAAATTTCTAAAGAAACATTTGAAATTTTACGTATTCCAAGCAATGTCTCATTATTCTCCGATCACTATTCGTCTAGTACATTATTTTGAAACACTCATTTTGTTATTTGAAAACACTCACTCCCACACTGTGATACACGCCTAATTTTCTTTCTAATTCTTTCTAATTCTTTCTAATTCATTTGTTTGCAAATTTTTCAAAGAAAACTAGATTTCCCCTTTCTCAACTCATTCAGTTATTGCTTGAAACATGGTTTCTGATGAATTTTTCCATTAAAAATCCTTTCTCGGTGCTTTTTCGACTTGATGAACAGGCTTTTTGTTAGTTTAGGCTATGAAAACATTGAAAACCAAATATTTTTATCCTTTTTATCGTTGCGTGTTGTTATTTTTACAAATGCATTTTGTAAATAAGCAAATAAACGTTTTTTTGGCTTATGAAATATAGAAAACGCAGAAATAGTGGTAAAAAATGTTAAGTTTCAAATTTATTCAATTGTTTGAACGTTAATGGGCTTTAGTCGGATAAGTTTTTGCTGTAAATTTTCTAATCTTTTTTTCTCGGCTTCATTGATTACAAGATTAATATCAACTACAAGATAGAATCAAAGCTAGAATCATAGCTAGAATCACAACTAGAACCACAGCTAGAATCACAGCTAGAATCACAGCTAGAATCGAGCTAGAATCACAGCTAGAATCACAGCTAGAATCATAGCTACAATCATATTGCCATATTTTCAGTTTAATTTAATCTAGATGAAGCTAGTAATATGTTTTGGAATTGTAATATCTTTTGAAATCAAATACTAGAGAAAATTGAGCTCTTAATCTAACGTAAATATAATCCGATTCAGTCCGTTTGTCGATAGGTGTAAAACGGAAAAGAATTGGCGCCCAGAGGAGACGAAGTTTATTTGAGATTCGGCTCTTCCGTTCATTTGAAAGATGTGCGCGTTAACCCCTCGACCATGTCCGTTTGTTGATGGCGCAGTGCGAGTGCACTTGTCTCTAGCCCCACACGACCCGGGTTCGACTCCAGCTCACGTCGGTACTTCTGGTTTTTGAAAAATTTAAAAACATGTTGCACAACTAGATGAAATTCTAAGCCAAACTAACTATAAAGTATTCGAAATGACCCATTGGGCGCGGAGAAGTACAGACAGACAAAGAGAAAGACAGACAGACAGACAGGCAGACAGACAGACAAACATACAGACGTCTTTGTCCCTTTATATAATAGATACATAGTACAAAACCACCAAAGTCTATAAAATATCTAAAATCTATAACTATAAAGCATTTGAAATTGCCCACTGGTCGCGGAGAAGTACAGACAGACAGACAAACGTCTTTATCCCTTTATATACAGTCGAAATTCGATATAACAAACCTAAAAGGTGCTTCAAATTTTCTGCGTAGAAGATTTTCTTTTCAAACGTCAATTTTATTGTATTAAGATCAATTGGTGACCAAAATTCTCAAAAGAAAAGAGAAATGGGCCCTCATGGTGTATTGGTTAAGTTCTCACTTCCAAACTGAGGGTGTGGGGTTCGGCCCCCCTAGGGTTCTCTTCCCTAGCCCGTGCGCCCAGACTAGAGGTCTCTTCTCTAGAGCTGACTAGAGATCCCTTCTCTAGCGGAGTTCACTCTTCCACTGGGTTGGCCCATTCATGGCCTGAGGTTATTAAAGCAAGAAGCCTATCTTCTATCTATCTTCTTTTCTCCCCGCCTCCACATCGCCGAGTAAAAATATCTCATCTTTCTCTATGTATTTATGTGTAGATTTGTGTATTGTCTGACTGATTACGCTTTATTTCATGTCCTGAATAAAGTATGAATATAAAATGAATCAGAGCCAAACATTAAAACAAACTTTCATTCTTTTTGAACTTTTGTTTTTTGGAAATTCACAGTTTCAAAAGCAATCATTTACACAAAATGTGGGCTATTCGCTAAAAAAAGGCTATTTTCATATTTTCAAACGTCAATCTATTCTTTTCGTTTGTAAATATGTGGCAGGAATGTTTGAAAACGATTTTTGGAAAGCTTTTGAACTTTTTTCGTAGATTAGAAATGATTTTTGTTTTAAAAATTGATTGTTTATTGAATTATTGATTGTTTATTGAAGATTTTCAAAGCTCAGAAGCTTTTTTTAAAGTTTAAAACAAGAAATTTTGAGCTTCTGCTTTTAAGAATGTTTTTTTTTTGATTCTAAATTCCCATTGCTTACAAGGGAAGGGCAAAAAGTGACTTTTTGACTTGAGATCTTGTAGATAGAATGAAATCCATCTTAGAGTCGATCAAGGAGATCACGAATCTGTTTTTTATTTTCACAGAACCCTTCGCAAATGCGAGATATTTGGCATAGAAAACCAAGAAAAGATCAATTTTGAGCGCTTTATGGAGGCCCGATCATGATCGCGATCAGGCCTCCTTACTCCCCTTTCGAGCTCACCCAACAAGCGCCTCGATGGTCTGCTAGACTAGACTAGTGGATAGTCTGCTAGACTGGCGAACCTATTGCACTTCTTGCCCACAAGTTTAAACCTCTGATCTTTTAAATAGGATACCGAATTTCTTTATAAATAAAGCCTTTAGAAAGACTCGGATAACTTGAAACTAGCTTTATTCATGACCCAGGTCATACCCATGAGCTCATGTACTAATTTCAGTACTAATTTCCTCAAGTCCCATGACCTGGGTCATATCCATGGGCTGGGTCATACCCATGAGCTCCTGTACTAGTTTCAGTACTAACTTCAGTACTAATTTCCTCATTCCCATGACCTGGGTCATATCCATGGCTCATGTGTATGACCGGCCATGGATATGACCTGGATCATGTACTGAACCCATGAGCTCCTGTACTAATTTCAGCCCTAATTTCCTCATTCCCATGTCCTGGGTCATATCCATGGCTCATGGGTATGACCGGCGATGGATATTACCTGGATCGTGTACTGAACCCATGAGCTCCTCTACTAATTTCCTCATTCCCAAGATCCAGGTCAAACCATTTTCAATAATCTATCTAAAAATTTTTCTTCATTTTTAACTTCTTTTCGTAAAACTATTTGACTTGTAAATGTTTGCCGTGGATCCGAATCAGGGCCAAGTGCTTGCACTGATGAAGTGGGGCAAGAGAAAGAAAAACGAAAAGGCAAACAAATTCACATGCATAAATACGGGGCGAAAGGTTGATTTTTCGACTCATTTCTGGGGGAAAGAGGGGTCTATTTGCGTTTGTGAACAGTTTTCTTTTTCAAAAAAAAATAGAATGTTTCAAAAAAAGGGATATCTAAGTGAAAGTGATTGAAATTTTGACAGTTCCAGCTTTTAAACGTTTCAAGTTTCAAAGTTTTGATTGGTTGCTTGATTTCATTGATTTCATTGGTTTCTTGTTTTTCAATTTCTGACTTTTTGGTTTAAAAAATTCTTGTTTCAACTTAATTGAATATACCGTCAAAAATTAATTATAATGAAATGCCATTCTTTAGATTTATTCAAAGTTAATCCAACGGTTAGTTCATGGAGATGTTCTTTCGTTAGAAATTCTTTCGTTTTAAAAATTCCAGTCACCTCAAATAAATTTTTGTATAACTCTTTTCCAATAAGAAAAGCCAGAATGCCAGAATGCCAGAATGCCAGATTTTGGAATCGATTCCCCAAAGTTTTGAGAGAGTTCAATAGTCTTAAAGCCTTTAAATCTGTAGATGATCTTGATGTTGAAGCTCTAGTGGATTCTTGACGTTATCTGTGCTGCCAATAAGAACTGCCAGATTTTGGAATCGATTCCCCAGAGTTTTGAGAGAGTTCAATAGTCTTAAAGCTTTTAAATCTGTAGATGATCTTGATGTTGAAGCTCTAGTGGATTCTTGACGCTATCTATATGCTACCCATTACATACATTATAACGTGTTGCTTTTTATCAGCCCTTTTCGTGTTATGTTTATTAAATCTTAAATCTAGCGCACTTTATTTATTTCAAGTCCTGAATAAAGTATTTATCATTTCGACACGCTGAAAATTACCCTTAATAGCGCCCAGAAGGTAATTTTCAACGTTGGCCCTAGGGCACCTTTTTTTGGGTAGTTTTATGCGTAGATTCCGAAAAACACAATGAGAGCTTGGGAA